CAAAACATCTGATGTCACACAGATCAGCAATGGAATATCTCCGCATTTACTGAGTTATTGAGTGTTTTCTTTTTTTTAAAACTTACTTATCTTCCTCTCTTTGCCTCTTCCAGACCATGCCATATTCAAGATCACTTACATGAGCAACCATGACTATAAACCTCTCTACTTTGAGTCTGATTCTGCCACAGTCAATGAAATTGTTCTAAAGGTGAGTTTTTAACTCGCAGATGTCTGCGATGAGACAATAAATGAAATGGGTTTACACACGCGCACACACGCAGGTAGTCCTCACCTTACGAACGTTCAACTTATGAACACCCGATCACGCAGCCATGAGCACCCCCCCCCCCCCCCCCCCCCCCCCAAAAAATGAGGATTTCGCGCCATTGTTCCTGAGGAGGTTACGTCACGGTCACCCTCCTGCCTTGGGGGTCGGCTTTTGGAATTGGACCGACCCTTCAGCCGAGTGTGAGCGTTTAAAGCACCTCATTTTCATATAGGTGGTGAAGGGTGTCCCCTATAGATGTGGACTTTGGGGCGGGGTGGGGGGGGGATAAATCAAGCTAACCCTTACAGATTTAAATGAAATATATAACGACCCGTGAACAATTCAGATGAGGAAAAACCTCTCAGACCGCATTCTGTTTGAGTATCTTAGTGACATGGACAAAAAAACAAACAGATTTGACACCTAAGAGGCACTTAACCCGATTTCCTCATTTCTGGCTCTTTTAAATCAAGCATGAAAAGGCTAATCGTTTTCTGGTCTTTTCAGAGGGTGAAGTAGGCCCTTAGTAGAAATGTCCACATATATTTTGGGGCCGATTAATCCACATTATTTCGCCATTATTTGCGCTGTCAAAAAAGTGGCCGGGCCATTCGCTCTTACCGTCTGAGTTAGGGACCGTCCACAAATGACATGTTCTAGGTCAGTGGTCCCCAACCTTTTTTCTGTCACGGACCAGTTGAAACAAGTACATGCTGTTCGTGGACCGGCAACCATTTTTATCATTGCTTTTAAATTGCCGGTTTTGAGGCACTGGTACCGACACCAAATAGAATTAGAATAATTTTAATTTTATTAACATCATTTTTTTTCATTCATTTCAAACTGTTATTCTACTGTGCAACAAAATGTCAGATCCTGCTTACCAATCAGGCTATCGGGAAAATCCTGGCCGACTCTCCATTCAACGGGTTAAAACTCTCCTTATCCCTCAGCCCGCTCTAACGCAGTCACCGGAAGGGACGGGAATTTTCCTAAATCGGTGGTAGAGGGTCGTCTAAGTTCTTACTACTGTACCTCGGTTTTAAGAAATCAGTCCTGTTTTAAGCTCTTTCATCCACCTTAATTGAGTAACCTTAAGCCAAACTTGCAGACAGCATTCAAACAGACACAGCAATCTTTATTTTTCTCCAGTGTGTGAACAATTGTGTCGCCTTCCGAATTTTTGTGCAGTGAATAGTTTCATTTTCATGAAATGCTATTTATCCATAGGTGAACTACATCCTCGAGTCAAGAGCCAGCACCACACGGGCTGATTATTTTGCCCAGAAGCAGAGGAAGCTCAGCCGTCGGACAAGTTTCAGTTTTCAGAAAGAGAAGAAGGCCGGCCAGTAGAGAGACTACATTTGTGCAGTTATTATTTTGTCAAGAAAACTGTAGTCCGACTCACAAAGAGCCTCATGGAGACTTTTCAACCGAAATTCACTGAATAAACTCGCCAACAACCACAGATTAGAAGATCGAAGGATTGAGTCCAATGTCCCAACAGACGACAAAATAGCAATATACATAAATTATCTAGATTGGTTTTATTGGGTGGCAATAGCTCACCTGGTAGCACTTGTGCTTTGAAGCCAGAGGAACACAGTTCAAGTCCTGCTGGGGATAAAATGTGAAAATGCCCACTCGAGGTCCAGCACTTTTTGTGGACCCTTTCATTCTGACTTTTTTCCTTGAATGTCTGCATGCATTTGATCTGCTTTTGTGTCGTGTGCAGCACACACAAAAATATACAGCAGCGTTGATTTTTTTTTTTCCCCTCAATGGGTTACAATGACTAAAAAAAATTTGCAAAAGAAAAATTTTAATTTATAAACAGTCCACAAAATGGCATTTTTATCTATTCATCATTTATGTCCACAGATGTAGCTTTGTTTTGGTTCCCAAAATCAATTTACAATGGATGTAGAGTAGTGGTTCTTAATCCGGGTTTGATCGGTCTCCGGGGTTCGACGGAGCCTTGCCTTGGAGGTGAAGACATACCCCACTCAACATGTCAAATTAGTTCTGACACGCCCGCTGCAGATGACCACATATCGATTGTTCAATCAGTGCTGCTGGAAATGTAGTTCGCTCAATCGTCAATGTGTGACTGTCGTGATAGTATGTCATGTGATTTTTTTTTTTTTTTTTTTAGAATTTTTTTTTTAATACATGCTATGTCGAGCAAAAATACAAAACCAAAAAAAACAAAAAGAAAGCGGGCAGACAAATATGTACAACATGGATTCACATGCATCACATAAAGTGATGGGACTCAGTGTCCTATCTGCATAATTTGAGCAACTCAAAACTGAAGGAACACTTCTTGATTCATATTTTGATTTTTCCCCTTATGAAGTGTTCGGTGAATGTGCGTATGAACAAGTTGTTCTGTACCTTTAACAAGGTTAAGAACTACTGATATTGAGTGAGTCTACACACCCATGGTCAAATGTTAGGTTTTTATAACATTAAAACAAATCTCTTTTTCAATCTGACCAAGACTAACTTGACTTGACAGCAGCACGGTGGGAAAAAAGACTATCAACAGCCGTACTAAATGGAAAATATGGATTAAACAATTTTACACATTTGACAGTTCGATCATAAAACCACAAAAATCAGACAGAACATCTACAAATTGATGTGTCTGCCTTCTAGTTATCCAACAATGTCGTGAATGCATCCAGTTAGCCTCCGTCACAGGTGTCAATCTCTCGACCTCGGGGCCAGATATGGCCCGCTACATCATTTTATGTGGCCCGCGAAAGCAAATCAAACATGTCAACTTCCATGATGCTTGCTAAAATCTCTATCAAAATTTAAAATTCTTATGTGTCATAAATAAGTGAGGTATTGTAAGCATTTTCTTGTGACTAAACCCGTCATTTCAGGAACTTAAACCAGTATTTTTCAAACCCTGTGCCAGTGTGCTTGCGAGACATTGTCCGGTATGCCACGGGAAAATAACCAATTTGTATGCCTGTGCGGTCTATCGCCCAGAAAGTAATCATGTAGTACCCTCTCATACCAATAGGGAGCAGCAACAGCTAGCCAATTGCCTTGTGTTTCGACCACTAGAGACAAGCAAATTTGTGCCACATGAATGCAGGACGACAGTGAAGCAATAAATATTAGAGATCATAAAATACCTTTTTCTTTGTGTTCATTTGATTCCAATTCAAGCTGTTATAACGTCATTCTTCAATGTTAAATACGGTTATGGTAACACTATAACACGTTAATTGTTAAAATAAGCAGGGTTTTTTTTTCACATTTTCAGCTAGTCGTGTGCCGCGAGATTTTTCAATGAAAGAAGTGTGCCTTGGCTCAAAAAAGTTTGAAAAACACTGACTTAAACAATAATTGAATAAACCGTTATTATTGACCTCTTTATATGGGTTCAGTCATAACGGCCCCTCCAAGGGAAACAGGAACTAAAAGATGTCCCACGACAAAAATTTGTTTGACACCCCTGGCCTAAGTCATAATTTTAAGTTTCAAGCTATTTTGTAAATTGTTTCTTGCAAAGGCCTTTGATGCCTTTGCCCAAATTCAGTTCTGACCCTTCGGACAAAAACAAAAATATCCTACAAAGGATTAGAGTGGACATTCTTGGCATGCAAATGTGGTCTGTACCATCTCAAGATGGGGGGTTCAGAAGACTATCTGTCAGTGATGGGGCATTAAATTTTGTTTTTGTTGTTGTGCGTCGACTGTGGCTAGTTCCTGGGCTCCTGGCTGATTCTCAGTACTGGGCTCGTGGTAGTTGCCGTTAGGTTGGGGGCGGGCTGGATTGAACACCTTGCTGTACTGGTAAAAAGGTTCGCTGCATGATCTTAGACCAATAAATCATCAACCACTGAGACCCAATCTTCAGTACCCGTGCGGCCCAGAATTGTTGCCGCTGCTGTTGATTCACCGCAGGCGCCCAAGGAGGGTCCTTAGAGGCGCGAGACTACCCGACGGAAGACCGACAAGTTCGTCGGGAGGTCTTCTGGCTTGATTGCGTAGCCAATCCACCGTCGCCATAGCTGATGAGTGGATTCCTGTTCCTTGCTACAGCTGCTATTTGTAGCAACAGGTGCTTTACATATGGATATGGGGACTCTCCAGTGTTGAGGATGGAAGAGGATGCATGACAGACAAAGTTAGTTTCTTCAGGGCTCCAGACTATGCCCCCTAAAGTTTATGAAAGTCCAAGTAAATTTGTCATCGACTTGCACATGTCCAACCAGTTAATTTGTTGTTTTTCTTTCTCTTTTTTGAAAATGATTATTCTTGAATATTTTTGTGTCTGAGAAACTTCTTTCCATCTATTGATCAATATAATGAAAATGAGTAAATGGCAATATTTACTATGCAAGTCTATTCACAGTGTGCACCGATAAATGTCCAACTTGAGCCGCTAAAGTTTTGGGTTAGGGTCCACTGTGCTCCTTGTTTAAAAAAAAAAAAAAAATGCTATTAATTATTCGTGCCCTCTGGTTTCTTTCTGCTTTTGTCAGTCTTCTTTAACTTTACATGCAGAATGGTGTACAGTATCACACTTTTTCCGAAGAGATTTTTTTAGCTTCAAATAAAAACCTGAAAGTGCTTTTTATATCTTTTCATTTATGAAAATTAGTTTTTGATCTTCATGGAGGGCTTCAAATCACATAAGACTGCTTGTGATAATTGTTTTATTTTACCTTTTGTTATTCGATTTTTTTTTTTTTTAAATCAAGGCGCAACCAGCAGGCTGCCAATTGCCCATCCTTGATCTGGACCGTCAAAAGCAACCATTCCGACAGAAGTCGTCAATACATTATTTAATTCAGCCGAAAGGGTAAACAAAACTCATATTTATAGTAAAGAAAAGACAGCTGAATATTGCTTGATGGGTCATGATTCTACTGAGATGTCCTTGTTTTTCAACAGCAGCTGTCCATTTGGATCCAAAAGGGATTAAAACTCAAGTTTAGTTTTGGATTATTTGTTTACTTACAAAAATACGTGTTTGGTGGGTGATCTATGGAGGCGCCACTGGCAGAAAATAAAGGGAATGATCTGAGAAATTTACAGTTCCACACTCGTATTTCATCAACAGCAGTCCCATTTTGAGATTAGTTCACTTTTTTGGGTTTCTGATTCTTCCAAAGGACGACAGCGGTAAAGGCCCCTGTGGAGAGGAAAGATATGGCATTTATTTTTAAATATATATATATATATATATATATATATACACACACACACACACACACACACACACACATTACACTGACTTAGTTTCATCAAATGAGTGGGGTGATATTTATGCATTAGTGGGGACATTGGGCGTGAGTCTTACCTATACAGAGGAGCAGTAGTACAGCTGCGATACCAGGCAGAATGACCGAGTATTCCCGTGGTAGAAAATATTTGTGTAATACATGATCACTGTCCATGAAAGGCTGTGAAATGGCAAGATATCAAACAACAAATTAAACAAAACAATTGAGATCATTTGGACAACAAATTAGGTCTGAACGATATTTGAAAAACAAAAATCTAATTGGGATGAGTTTTTCCACAAAACTGCAATTTCAGAGGCAATTTTTTTTTTTTGCAATATCCTCTTCCCGTGCATTTTTTTTCAACAAACACAAGCATCTTCATCTGTATTACAATAAACAATCCGAATTGTTTTACATAAATGATTTGGTTTTATACGTTAGACTGACGCTAAAATAAAGGAAACTGGAACAAAATAATATGAGATACAGTTTAGCTACTTCGCATGTTAAATTACTGAGAGCTGGCTTGCTATACTCTTTTAAATTTGCTATGACAAATTCTATCAAACAAGTGTGGATTAAATACAAGTGAGCAAATCAGTAATTTAGATTAGATTATAATTTCGATTAGATTACCCAACTGCAAACCAATATGCGGTTTTATCACTTCAACTTTTCATGAACCCAAAGACCTGGACTGCACTTAAACCTTATTAAAGTTATCAGACACTATATAAAACAATAAATAAAGTACACAAGTACATACAGTACATAGATATAAAAAAAAAAAAAAATTCTACCAACCAACCAAAGTGAAGCATTTTTTTCACCAAATTGGAGCCTTTGCAATTTGAAAATTGCATTCTACAACTTTGTTGATTTGAATTCAATTATTTGTTAAGGACTGCAGCAAATATACAGTAGTCTATGACGGAGAAGAAGAATGGTTGGTTGTATTTAACTAGAGTACGTACACAACCTGCACTGAAGTAGAACTTAAGCATCCAAACCTACCAGAACGATGACCCAGATCGAATAGTAGGTAAACAGCATGAGGCTGAAGACAATAAGACTCATGCCTGCTGCTTGATCCACTCCGGTAGCCTGGAAACAAAGTCGCACAGTCATCAGAATGACTTTCCACAAAGAGAAAAAAAAACAAACACTGTGTAATGGTGTCGAACAGAGTCACTAATGGTGCCGGGATACATTCGCGTGACTTCAGTGAGGGCAGCATGGGTTCAATTCCTACTTCGTGATGGTGCGAATGTAAGAGCGAATGGTTGTCTGTCTGTAAATGTGGCCTGAGACAGAAGTTCAGGGTGTGATGTGGTTTTTGCCCGAAGTCAGCTGGGAACGGTGACCCTGAACAGGATAAGTAAGTAGTAAAAAAATGAATGGACAAATGGTGTCGCACGGGTGTCAAAAATGTTGTCGCAGGCCACATTATAGTTACGGTTTCCCTCGGAGGGTTCTTTACGATTGTGAAACCATATAAATATTTAATTGGTATTATACGCACCAACTTCATGGACAATTTAAGCTATAAATTGTTGTTGAGAGAATTATAGTGTCCTTTCACGAGTAGATCAGAGACATCATGCTCAAAATGTGCACACTTCTGCTACAAGCTAATTTTGAAAGTAAATAAGAAGCTGTAGCATCCGTTGACAAAAAAAGAACTTGGTTCACTTCTCCTGTCTGATGTAAATCCGTTACAATTCCAAGCTGTCAGTTTCAAATACGCATCCGCGCTGTGCGCCGATTCTCCTCTCTCCCCATCCATCCATCCAACCACACCAACGCAGACTGTCCAACAGCGGCAACATCGCCACTAAACAAAATGGGCCTGTGAAAAATGCTGCCCATTACAGGTGCGAAAAAAAAAAAAAACAAGCGTCCTGGGGCTGTCCAGCACCGACAGTCAAATAGTGCCGACATTCCTCCCAATCAAAATCAGTGCTAGTACGCGTGTGCTGCCAAGAAGGCGCAACCACCAAGCACAGATTCTTCTCCCTTGACGAATGTTGTGGCCAAAAACTCTGAAAGCAGTCCACATCGGGTCCACATGCAGTAACAACAATCACCATGACAAAAAAAAAAAAAAAAAAAAGTTCTTGAAGGGCACTTGCCGACTGCTGCCAACTAGGGCGCCATCTTGGATTACTTTTAGTGATGTGTCCTCTGTGTCAAATCTTTGTTGCATGTACTGAGAAAATGCTCCGATGACATAATTGATGACAGTCAAAGCTTGGAAACCGGTTCAGGAAGCGGATTGAGAAATTCAGTTGCTGATTTAAGCGGCAATGAAACGCGGTGGAGGCAGAAATGTGTTGTCATTATAAGGGCCACGGTTCCATCCTCCTCTGCTCTTGCTAACTCCTGCTCCTCCTTTGCCTGCCCCTTCTCAATTACTGCATTTTCCTCCACCCTTTCCATGTCAATTTCACATCTTAATAAGCGTAATTCTAGTCAAACATTTGCACAAGAAAACCTCTTCCTTGCATGCCGTTTTGTCCACTTGGTGGTGCCAGAGGGGATTGAACTACATCTGAAGCCTGGACACGAGTGAAACTAATTGTAAAAAATTGGAAAGCCTCAACACTTCAAGGAGCGTCATCTCACCATCACTATTTTTCATCTTGTGAAATGGACTTTTGTATCATTCTGACTAACAGTGTACCGTACAATATTTGTCAAATATTGCCCATTCAGCATCCATTGCAGCCTGGTCATCAGTGGAATTCGCCCATCTGTGGTCCCTTCTTAAGGTTTCTCATTTTTTAGTTTTTCTCTTGCCCTCCTGGGGGTGAAGGTCAGAGGATGTAATTAATATTTGTCAACTGTGGGCATATGTGAACTTCTTTGGGACTATTTGTGATTAAGGGCTATATAAATAAATGTGACTTGACTCAAAGGTCCTTTGATCAGTTGAAATTGACAATTGAAAAATTATGATCATTGGTTCGTTTCGGTCATTGATATAAATGTGCTCAAACTTTTGCAGTATTGTGGTAAAAATGTATGCAGTGTTTGGTCCGGACATTTTTTTTTTTTTTTTAAACATTGTACTGGGGCGGCCCGGTGAGCCAGTGGTTAGCGCGTCAACCTCACAGTGCAGAGGCACCGGGTTCAATTCCAGCTTACGCCTCCCTGTGTGGAGTTTGCATGTTCTCCCTGGGCCGTACCAGAGTACCCAGTGTTTTCTCTGGGTACTCTGGTTTCCTCCTACATTCCAAAAACATGCATGGCAGTCTGACTGAACACTCTAAATCAGGGGTGGCTAACCCGCGGCTCGCGAGCCGCATGCGGCTTTTTGGCTGGTTACATGCGGCTCCCAGGCTTTCACACGACAATTGTCGAAAACGCCTCGACAATGGCGCTGCCATTCAAACAATGGTGCTTAATATACAGAACATACTACGTCAGCCTATCATCAATCCCGTTACTTGATTGACATAGAGGGCGACCAATCAGATGACTGAATCACGCGCAGACAACGGCGCTAAGTGCTAAGCTAGTCAGCGAATTACCTCTGTTTTTAAGGCAGGGGTGCCCAATACGTCGATCGCAATCAACCAAGAGCCAGCAGACTGGTTCCAAGTCGGTGGGAGAAGGAAATGGTGGTGCGGAGGGAGGTTTGTGTGTTAAGGTTTTATTTATGTTCGGGCGCTCAGGCTGGTGCTCGTCGTGGTGTGCATGCATATGTGCGGGAGTGCATGGTTGTGTGTCTATGTGTGTGGCTCTTTGCAGTAACACAGTAAAAAAAATTGGCTCTTAGTCTCTGACTGGTTGGTCAGCCCTGCTCTAAATTTTCCCGAGGTGTGAGTGTGAGCGAGGATGGTTGTTTGTCTCTGTGTGCCCTGCGATTGGGTAGCAGCTGGTTCAGGGTGTCCACCCACTACTGCCCCAAGACGGCTGGGATAGGCTCCAGCACCCCCTGAGACCCTTGTGAGGATTAAGCACAGTACTGCATTCATCCACAATACACCGCCACACAAAACTGGATCATGTTCAGTTACCAGTACATCTCAGAATAACCAAAATATTTTTAAAATATCACTCAAAATACAAAATACAGTCTACTATATAAAAATCCTCTACTCCATAACCACATTGTCAAGAAAATAACCAGACGCTAAAGCTGTAGGTCATTTTGAGTTTGTCTCACACAATAATTTCCAACAGAGCATTCACCAAATTGAGTCTAAATAGATGTTAATTCAACTAATCCCATTACGAAGTGATCCCCCACACAGTACCAAAAACTAAACGCGAAGATTCCCTGAAATGTTTCAGACTACCCGAAAAGCATGTGTTTGACTAACCAACACGAAGCCAATGTTACGGTCGTATGAGACCCAAAAAAATGTATCATAAACCAGAGTTATAAACAGGTTAAATTAAATTGTCTTAATTTTCTTACCATTTTCCTGACCTATTATTTTCGGACGCTTCCTGGTTGTCTTCTTCTGTTTCGTAAATCTAGCTGCTGGGATACGGTTGCTAATATCTGCTGCCCTCCTCTGGCCAATACTCAAAACGTCGGCAATATTTGAAAGTACAGTAAAGAAACGAGACAACGAATCTGCTGTACAGTACACGATGACCCAATTGCCTGCCATTTTGGTCTAGGGGGTAAAAAATAAGGTTGAACCTCAAATACGCGATAATATTTACAGATTAATTAAATTTTACTTTCTCTTTCTTAGAGAATCGTGAGGTGTGAAATAAGGACTAATTGTACATTTTAGGTTCATCATGAATCCCAACTCAAAAGACGTTTTTGCAAACAGTGTACGGCAATGTTTCATCAAAGTTTAACTCCATATCTTGTTATGTAGTATGTAGAGAGGGCATTTTTTTGGTACAAAAAAAAGACAAGAGTTCAATCTAATTTAGGCGCACATATTTGAGTCACAGCCGACAACTGCAATATATCACCATTGTTTTTATTTATTTCCCAATGTCATGTTACCGCCCCAAAACTTTTAATCACTAGGTGCAGAAAATAAAGTTGTCAAAAGGTCAATCATATCACAGAGTATAAACAGTCAAGTACAGAGGAAAACATAAATATCAGAACTAGTTCAAAACAATTCACCAAAAAATGAATCCCCCCCACCAACTGTAAATATTGAAAATATTATTTCTCTTTTCATCTCATTTTACGGCATCTTTCAATTCACATTAAAAAAAAAAAAAAAGACCAGCCCGCTGGTCTGAAAATACAACGCAGACCTTATAGCGATTCTCTGTGGTGACAAAATCAATCTTTCTAGATTACCTCATTGGGTTAGAATTAAAGAAAATGTCATCATGTTTTGGGTCATCTTCATGAGGAGGTCAAGAAATAGTCCCAAAGGTCACAAAAATCACATCCCAAATTTCTATTGGCTGTAGAAGTCCATAATAGTAGAATTAATAGTAGTTTAAAGTACAAAAATGTGTTTGTGGTGTTTTTCTCTCTTCAATTCCTCCAACAAATCCTTAGCAGTGGCTACTGTAAGGTCTATTGCTTATGGACTGTATCGTATTTGCCCAATATAACCCAGAGCAAGGCAAAGACTTTCACAAACAGAATTGAATACATATGGCCTGTATTGCACACCCAGACTGACATTCACTAACAAAGTGACAGTGTCAGTAAACACAAATGTGTCCAGTGGAGGGAAGGCCCATTGTTTACACTGACAATCTTGGTACACTGAAGGCTTTGTGGTGTCCCAGCCATGAGACGGGTGTCACTGCAGCTCCGTACACGATGTGACAAGAGCAGAGTTTGCACAAACAGTTGAAAAAGAGAATATGGATTTTCTTGTTACATAAACATGTTCCATCCTCACATATTGCATCACTCAGAGCAAACTGTCAAGAGAAGTGCAATATCAATTCAAGTTAATATTACTAGTCCCTTGTGAAATTATTGTTGGAATGAAAAACACAAGTGCACTACATGCCAGCCATCAAAAATTGGGAGTGTTTTTTTAGCAAAATGGCACTGAAATAGGGCACAGCATTAGTGTCTTATTGCTATGATGAGTCCTTACTTGAGTGGCCTATAACTGCACCCCGCATCGACATCTCTCATTTTCCTTTTAGTGCTATACAACTTTTGACACCCACGAAATTCAGTGGACACCTCATTTAGCATGCACATTATCCCTTTCAAGGACAGCGGTTACTACAGTGGACAGTTTATCATGTTATCGGATTACACGGTGCATGAAAGGGTTGAACTGACTGAGGTTCTTCGGCTTCTGACCATGTGTTCAGTCAGTCAGCTAAAAAAAAATTTACGAACAACTATTAGGTCCATCCATCCATTTTCTGATCCGCTTTATCCTCACAAGGGTTGCAGAGGGTGCTGGAGCCTATCCCAGCTGTCTTCGGGCAGTAGGCGGGGGACACCCTGAACCAGTTGTCAGCCAATCGCAGGGCACACAGAGACGAACAACCATCCGCACTCACACTCACACTTAGGGACAATTTAGTGTTTGATCAGCCTGCAATGCATGTTTTTGGATTGTGGGAGGAAACCGGGGTACCCGGAGAAAACCCACACGGGCTCGGGGAGAACATGCAAACTCCACACTGGGAGGCCGGAGCTGGAATTGAACCCGCTACCTCTGCACTATGAAGTCGACACGCTAACCACTGGACCACCAGGCCGCCCAACTTGAACAATAATTGAACAAAATATTATAATTGACTTGACTGATTTCAAAACGAATAAACTAGTAATTTGTTGTGTACAAGTAATAATATTGTGGTTTCACTGTCATAATGGTCCGCCAAGGGAAGACGTAACTCCAAATTGGCCCGCGACTAAAATGAGTTTGACACCCTTGTTCTAGGCCGTCAACAACTAAAAGTTCTTATAAACATAACATTAGTATCATTGCCAACAATTGTTAATTTGCTGATTTTCGTTAACAAAGAAAAACATCTGCTCGTCACCCGCATGACTTGGATGGATAGTCACAATGAAATTCAAAATTTTGGCTGTATGCGAAAGATTTTTTTACTTAATAAATCCAATGCAAAGATCGGATGGAATGGAAGATAAAGCAACGGAATCTGTGTCTCATTTGTGATTGGTTCAATGAGCGTTCAGTACACAGTAGAGTTTTACATATGGCATGCCATATGAGCTTTTGAGAAAAATAGACATTTGAATAAAAGAAAAAAAAACATGTGGGCCATTTAACATGTAATGTGCATTGCCTTTAAGAGGTTTTTCTATGAATCCTCTTAGATGTGTGCAAAACGGTTTAAGCAGGTAACACAGAGATCACGTAACAATATAGAACGGAATAAAAGCTGGGGGCCAGTTATATGTTGGATTTTGTACGATCATACGAACTAAAGTTGCCTGATTCAACACCTGCTTTAAATTCCTTATATGGAATTCAATTTATCTGTTCCTTTTATAGCCTGAATGTGATAAGATTCCTTTTTTTTTTCCTAATGAGAAAGAAGTGCAATTTACTGTACATAGAAATCATATGCGTGTACAAACTCCCGGAGGACTGAAAAAACTTAAAACATAATTTCTTCAGTGTTCTACTGAGTCAGGCTTTCAAGTCATTTGTTGATTTTGAAGTCATTGGGAAAAAAAATCAGTGAGAAAATTATGACTGACAAAATTATGTTCTAGCAAAATGCTTAAATACACCATCAACTTGAAACAACGGCTACATTTGATTTTAGTTATTTTGCACAAGCAGTATTAAATGAGTGAAATATATTCCAAAGTGAAATTCAATTATTTGATATAAATGTGATACAGTAACTCTGACATTCAACAAGGCTCATCAGGCCGATGTGCTCATTTATCTTTCTCTACGGCGCCAACTTGGGCTTTATATTTACAGTACACTTCTGTCGCCACGACATCACTCATGCTGCCATTCCATCTATCAGAGTTGTTCAGTCATCATGAGTCAAGTGTTTTTAACGCCGGATTCCATCCCTGATGCAACCTATCCATTTTTTATCCAAGGCTTGGGACAGGCACCGGAAGGGATTCAAACCTGCGCTGACTGCATGAAAGGCAACAACATATAGCACTGCCGATATATCATAGTAGTCTTATCTAAAAGTGGTGTGTCCTTGAAGGCAGACTTGCACACGCTTGTACACAATCCCCCCCTACATTCAGAAGTTTGAGAATCCAGCTCGTCTTGCAGCACACGGGATGTTGCATCATTCAATGTGTCTCAATGACCACAGCTTCAAAGACACCAGGTGTTACTCTGTGAAGAAAAAAGTGTGCATTTTGGTTAACCCTTTCATACACAAATAACAATAACTTTAATCATGATTTTTTTTCTCAAGTGTTTTTATTAGTCTTTAGGCATGAAAAAAAATAATGGCAGTGGATGGCAACACACATAAGTGTCCATTGTAATGGTTGATGCACAGCTGTGACATTAACATTAATTATTCATTCATTCATTTTCCGAACCGCTTTATCCTCAATAAGGTCGCGAGGGGGGCTGGAGCCTATACCAGCGGTCCCTGAAACGGTTAAATAGTGGCAGATTTTAGTGAGATGTAGGGAGAAAAAACACTGAGCACTGTACCTGTTGGAGAGCTGCGCCCCACTAAGGGTCGTGGTCCCATCTTTGCTGACAAACAATTTCAAGTTGCTGTCTGGAGGGGGAAAAAAACCCAATGTTAATTTCATTATCCTCATTACTGCCCTTTACTGGATTTGTGAACAGAAATGAACGTATAAGCGCTCATAAACAGTCTGCATTTCCTGGCTATCCGTAAGTGGATTAGTTCGATACCAAAAATTAAAAAGTTACAAAAACTGGTAAGATTACACAGGAAGTAATACAAAAACAAATGTAATTATATTAACTCAAAGTCCTATTCAAGTAAACTTCAGTCGCTTAAAAAAGGCTGGTGCTCGAACCTTCATTGTTGCTGCGGTCCGAAAAATTCTGGCTCTGAACAATCTTTTCCACAATGTCATCAGCATCAATGCGGGTATCATCCACACAGCTATGCTGCCTCTCCATCATGCCATTCTTCCTTCTGTGCAACACAACAAATTGATTGTATCTGAATTATTTTGAATTAACCGACACTTGATGTTTGCCTCAAAGCAGACTTTACGGCGATAAATTAACTTCGAATGGTCTTAAACTTTGGAGTCCGACATTTTTGAAAAACAAACAAACAAACAAACATACAAAAAACAAACAAACAAAAAAATAAATAAAGACTGCTACGTTTGATTGTTAGCCATAAGCTACCTAGCTAACCACTGATTGGTTAGCTTCCGCATGTTGTTAGTTGTAATCGAGATGTTAAGCAGAAACATATTACATTACATGAGTGGTGTTTTTTTTATCCTGTTAATGTTCGACCACATTTGTGGGAATTGCAAATTTTTTGTCATGATCAGTGTGCACACCTGCTGCCGATATTGATGAGCCATGTATTTCGGACTGACAAGATGACTGCTGCTTGTCGGATTATTGAGCTTGTTGCTGCTCTTGTTCAAGCG